TCCCAGATGTCCCAATCACTCCCAAAATATGGTAACTGGACTTCTTACGGACCCATCCGTGTCTCTCCAAATTCGTGAGTGTCTGATCAACTATTTTCGGGAAAATACATCTCCAGAAACGACCCCACTCACCCAATAGGAAGCACACAAATGTGTGACACGTGGGCTTCTACTTACAATTGCTGCTTCTTGAAAATGCGCAGCTCAAGCATCTTTTAATTCGCTACTCCAGAAAGTACGTCAACTACAGTGTTCCCATAAACGTAAACAGGCTTTGACACTTACTGCCGAACTAACAGCTGCACAAACAACTACTGGAAGCTGTGGAAAGGAAAACCAAGCATAACTTTGCTTTATCTCAAAAACTGTTCTACAGATATGGGAACAAAAGTTGTAAATTTTTAGCTAGGGCCCTGCAAAGTTGCACTATTCATCAAATCCATTCCCAGCAAGGTTGAATACCTAAAACATCCCCGGATATAGCTGCAGAATTTGAAAAGACCCTTTATAATCTCCCTCAAGCCCCAAAACCTGCAGGGGATAATAGATTACGCACTGACATTATCCAGGCATTTCTAGCACAATATCTTCCCAAACCTATCTCATGATCTAAAGCAGGTGAACTAGATGGGGTGCTGACACTTGTAGAACTCCAAAAAGCCATTGCACAATTAAAACCGGGCAAAAGCCCAGGCCCTGACGAATTTATGACCACTTATTACAAATCCTTTATGGAAATTCTTGCATACCATTCCTCATTCAACTAGCATTAAACTCACTAGACACCTTGGGACAGCCGATGCGATTCCTTTCTGAAGCCCATATCACACTCATACCAAAAGAAGGCAAGAAAACGACATCAACGGCCAACTATCGCTCAATTTCCCTTCTGAACGTTGATCTAAAAATCTTCACTAAAATACTAGCAAACCGTCTCTTAAGCATCATTGAACCCTCTATATCCACTGATCAGGTGGGGTTTGTGCCAGGAAGAGAGGCAAGGGATAACACAATACGAGCCCTAAATATACATCACTGGTTGACACAAACAAATCAACATGGCTTTTTTCTCTCTCTCGACGCAGAGAAGGCTTTTGACAGGTTGGCCTGGGACTATATGGAGGTGGTTCTGCTTGGACTTAGCCTTCCCCCACTCCTCATGAACTTTATCATGTCGCTGTATACCACACTAACAGCCAACATTAGAGTCAATGGTCTCCTGTTGGAAGCCTTCTCTATCAGTAATGGGACTAGACAGGGGTGTTCGTTATCTCCCCTCCTATTTGTCCTTACACTGGAACCCTTCTTGAATCGCATTCAAATGAATGACAATATCAGAGGAATTATGGTTAAGGGCAGAATACACAAAATAGCGGCATTCGCCGATGATATACTACTCTTCCTAACAGAATCACACATCACCCTCCCCAATCTACTTCAAGACTTTCAGTACATATCCAACTTCAAAATTAATTTCAATAAATCCCAGGCCCTCAATGTCATCCTACCCCCTGACTTGGTCAGACAGGCACGGACAAACTTCCCCTTCACCTGGCAATCCGAGGCCATCTCTTATCTGGGGATTCAGCTACCCACCCACCTTTCACATCTATATACAAGAAACTTCTTACCTATCATACGTAGCATTACTAAAGACTTACAGAGATGGGATAAACCAATTTTCTCCTGGTTCGGAAGGGCAGCGATCCTCAAGATGAATGTGCTTCCCCGGCTACTGTACCTGATGCAAACGATCCCAATCGGACAGCCTAAGTCATTCTTTAGCTCATATATGACACTATGCACCTTCTTCTTATGGTGCAATAAATGTCCTAGAATCAGCTTTGAACAACTTACAATGCCGAAGGCTGGAGGAGGTATCGGATTGCCAGACATTACTCGCTACTATTGGGCTTGTCACCTGGCAAGAATTGTGGACTGGTCTACAAACCATGTACATAAGGCCTGGGTGAATCTGGAAGCAGCATTTTCAGTGACCCCACTAGCCACATCCCTGTGGCTGGGTAAATCACTTATCCCATCCACTTTCAAAAAACACCCGCTAATCGGTCCTACACTGTCTTGTTACCACTTGATGTGTCAGAAATCGGGCCTTTCCTGAATGCCTGGTCCACTCACGCCCATTTGTATGAACCTTGATTTTCCCCCCGGAATGTAGAATGCATTCCTCGCTGGGGCCTCACCCCAAAAATACCTGAGACTACACCATCTTTTCAAATATGGCGTCAAAGAACGCCTCCTGAACCAATGGCCAACTCTAAACATGACTCCGTGGATGTATAGGCAACTCCATCACTTCATACATAGCCCGTCACGTTCAAGAGAGCTTGCTAGACCCCTTACCCCATTCGAAAAACTCTGCTCCACAGATTCCTCACAGAGACATATGGTCTCAAAGCTATACGCATGCCTGGAAAACACAAATGAAGTTACGTCCAGAAAGGCCTGCGTAGCTTTTAAGCAACGACCTACAACTAAACCTGACCCCCTCTGATTGGGACCATGTATATGGCCTTATACACAAAGGTTCCATATGTGTTTTGACCCAAGAAAATAATTACAAACTATACTCTAGATGGTATAGATTTCCTTCTCTGCTTCATAGATTTGATCCTAGCATCTCTGACTCTTGTTGGAGATGCGGCCAAGCGACTGGTGCACTTTTACATATGGTGGGGCTGCCCAATGCCCCAACCCTTCTGGGGGATAATACAATCAATAATTGCTCAAGTAACAACCTACTCCCTAGATCTATCTCCTGAGCAATTCTTACTTCACTACTCCTCGCTCCCCTATAAAACATACTGCAAATCGCTCGCTATGCATATGGTGAATGCTGCAAAACAGTGTATTACAATCCACTGGCACTCAGCTCATACCCCCTCTGTCCGGGAATGGTTTGCACGTATAAACAAAATTGCTGATATGGAGGGGCCATAGGAAGATTGCCCCGATATAGAGGATTGCCCCGAGAGATTCAGGAAGACGTGGGCATATTGGAGTAATTTCAAAACCACAACCGCTTATCACCAACTACTGCATGACTCCACCTCTTCCCCCACTTGATCACTACTCGACTACCAATAGGAATATATGTTTTTTTTGTTCATGCATCACACATGTAATGCACACCTTGCCTGAGATCGAAAATTACGGCATAAATATTGCAGAAACGGACCTATATACGAGACCGCTACGCATGCCTGCCTAGACTGCTATATGGGACCTCTAACTACTACTCGGATTATTTTGCAATGTTTGACCCGGAGCAGTTGCTTCTTTCCCTTTCCTCCCCCTACCTCTCCCCCCCCTTTTTTTTTCCTCCCCACTATCTCTCTCCTCTCTCCTTCTTATTTCTCTCCTTCTATTCTTCCCTCTCTCTTCCCCCGCTCTATCTTACATTCTCAAATTTACTTCCCCAATTTTATAAGTTCAGATGAACTTAGAATATCAGTACCCACAGGTACAACTTCAGCTTCTCTGCCTCCGCCCCCATGGGTGGATGCCTCAACATCCGCTACTCCCACCATCCTGCTATGTTGTATTGCATTGCATCACACTATTTAAGATGATCATACGAGGATTGGCTGATCTATGTACCCAACTGTTCTGCTCATTTCATAATATGTAGATGTGTGCTTGGAACATGTTCTCCTCTGTTTTTCTTTTTCTCTTGTGTATATTTTTTTCAGCTTCAAGCTATGTTAATTGATGACACTAAATGTGCTTCAGATGTAAACCCCATCAGGGATACGGGCATTTACTAAGTTGTATACATGAACCGATTGTAACCTGTATATGTTTACCTCTGTGCCTTATTTCTCAATAAAAATTGTTCTTGGAGAAAAAAAAAAGAAAAAGGACTTCTGTTGTTTGGACTATCATTATGCTTGACTAACTTGACCCGGACTAAGTTTGCTTTACACACCGTGTAACATCTTGCCCCGAGATTGGTTGGGGAGCATAGGACCTTTAGCTGCCTGATTCGAGACGTGTGTGCCTATGGAATGTATGTGCCCAGTGGACACTTGTTCCTAACTTCATTACCTGCCCACCTCCTGTTGACAAAACACTGACATGTGAATGAGCAACAAGTTGGATACAAGTGGGGATGTGGTGAGCAAATAGTCAATTTGCCCATTAGGGCCCCTCCTTTTCTGCGGACATTGCATGTAAGTGGTCTCTTCCATAACTCATAGTCCTTCCAAGAGCAGCTTTCAAGTCATGTGGCTTCTGTGTAATGCAAATCCCAATTAGAGATGAGGTGATGGGAAACATCTTGACAGAGTTGGTTGTTGAGAGCCCTGGTACTGCAGCCCACAAGGCAGGTGAGTCCCACCACTATTGGCAAGTCCATTCCTGACAGTACCCCCCCCTCAAGGAGCAACCTCAGGACGCTCCAAACAGTCCTAGCTGGGCAAAATGTTCCACCGCCCGGGTCCGGTGACTAGCGGGATATCAAAGACTGGCACATCGGGCTGGGCACCGGACGGAGGCACTTCGAGCTGGGCACCGGACGGAGGCACTTCGGGCTGGGCACCGGACGGAGGCACTTCGGGCTGGGCACCGGACGGAGGCACTTCGAGCTGGGCACCGGACGGAGGCACTTCGAGCTGGGCACGGACGGAGGCACTTCGGGCTGGGCACCGGACGGAGGCACGTCGGGCTGGGCACCAGACGGAGGCACGTCGGGCTGGGCACCAGACGGAGGCACGTCGGGCTGGGCACAGATCAGGCACATCAGGCTGGATGCCGGATCACCAGGCGAAACAGCGGGCACCGGCCACCAGGCGGAGCAGCGGGCACCGGGCCCCCAGGCAGGACGGCGGGCACCGGGCCACCAGGCGGAGCAGCAGGCACCGGGCAACTAGGCAGAGCGGCAGGCACCGGGCCCCCAGGCGGAGCGGCAGGCACCAGGCCCCCAGGCGGAGCGGCGGGCACCGGGCCCCCAGGCAGGGCAGCAGGCACCGGGCCACCAGGTGGAGCAGCGGGCACCGGGCCACCAGGCAGAGCAGCGAACACCGGGCCACCAGGCAGGGCAGCAGGCACCGGGCCACCAGGAGGAGCAGCAGGCACTGGGCCCCCAGGCAGGGCGGCGGGCACCGGGCCACCAGGCGGATCAGTGGGCACTGGGCCCCCAGGCAGGGCGGTGGGCACCAGGCCACCAGGCGGAGCAGCAGGCACTGGGCCCCCAGGCAGATCGGTGGGCATCGTGCAACCAGGAAGGGCGGCAGGCACCGGGCCATCTGGCTCGACAGCGGGCATCGGGTCACCAGGTATGACAGCGGGCACTGGGTCATCAGGCATTGGATCGTCTGGCTCGACAGCGGGCATCGAGTCATCAGGCATGACAGCGGGCATCGGGTCACCAGGCATGACAGTGGGCACTGGGTCATCAGGCATTGGATCGTCTGGCAAGACTGCGGGCACCGAATCATCTGGCAAGGACCGCGGGCCCGAGTCATCTGGCAAGACCGCGGGCCCAGAGTCATCTGGCAAGACCGCGGGCCCAGAGTCATCTGGAAAGACCGCGGGCCCCGAGTCACCAGGCACAACAGCGGGCTCTGAGTCAACCGGCCCGACAGCGGGCTCTGAGTCAACTGGTGGAACAGCAGGCACCGAGTCGTCTGGCAAGACTGCGGGCACCGAGTCGTCTGGCAAGACTGCGGGCACCGAGTCATCTGGCAAGACTGCGGGCACCGAGTCAACTAGCAGAACAGCGGGCATCGAGTCGTCTGGCAAGACTGCGGGCACCGAGTCGTCTGGAAAGACTGCGGGCACTGAGTCAACTGGCGGAACAGCGGGCATCGAGTCGTCTGGCAAGACTGTGGGCACCGAGTCGTCTGGCAGGACTGCGGGCATCGAGTCGACTGGCAAGACTGAGGGCACCGAGTCGTCTGGCAAGACTGGGGGCACCGAGTCAACTGGCGGAACAGCTGGAATCGAGTCGTCTGGCAAGACTGCGGGCACTGAGTCATCTGGCAAGACTGCGGGCACCGAGTCAACTGGCGAACAGCGGGCATCGAGTCGTCTGGCAAGACTGCGGGCACCGAGTCGTCTGGCAAGACTGCGGGCACCGAGTCAACTGGCGGAACAGCGGGCATCGAGTCGTCTGGCAAGACTGAGGGCACCGAGTCGTCTGGCAAGACTGGGGGCACCGAGTCGTCTGGCGGAACAGCGGGCATCGAGTCGTCTGGCAAGACTGCGGGCACTGAGTCATCTGGCAAGACTGCGGGCACCGAGTCAACTGGCGGAACAGCGGGCATCGAGTCGTCTGGCAAGACTGCGGGCACCGAGTCGTCTGGCAAGACTGCGGGCATCGAGTCGTCTGGCAAGACTGCGGGCATCGAGTCGACTGGCAAGACTGCAGGCACCGAGTCGTCTGGCAAGACTGCGGGCACCGAGTCAACTGGCGGAACAGTGGGCATCGAGTCCTCTGGCAAGACTGCGGGCACTGAGTCATCTGGCAAGACTGCGGGCACCGAGTCAACTGGAGAAACAGCGGGCATCGAGTCATCTGGCAAGACTGCGGGCACCGAGTCGTCTGGCAAGACTGCGGGCACTGAGTCAACTGGCGGAACAGCGGGCATCGAGTCTGGCAAGACTGCGGGCACCGAGTCATCTGGCAAGACTGCGGGCACCGAGTCATCTGGCAAGACCGTGGGCACCGAGTCAACTGGCGGAACAGCGGGCATCGAGTCTGACAAGACTGCGGGCACCGAGTCATCTGGCAAGACTGCGGGCAGCGAGTCATCTGGCAAGACCGCGGGCACCGAGTCAACTGGCGGAACAGCGGGCATCGAGTCAACTGGCAAGACTGCGGGCACCGAGTCATCTGGCAAGACTTCGGGCACCGAGTCAACTGGCGGAACAGCGGGCATCGAGTCCTCTGGCAAGACTGTGGGCACCGAGTCGTCTGGCAAGACTGCGGGCACCGAGTCAACTGGCAGAACAGCGGGCACCGAGTCGTCTGGCAAGACTGACTGCGGGCACCGAGAGTCAACTGGCGGAACAGCGGGCATCGAGTCGTCTGGCAAGACTGCAGGCACCAAGTCGTCTGGAAAGACTGCGGGCACCGAGTCGTCTGGCATAATAGGATCATCAGGCTGGATCAGTTCATCAGGCTGGGTAGAGACATCATGCTGGGTAAGGACATCCTGCTGGGTAAGGACATCAGGCTGGGTAGAGACATCAGGCTGAATTGTGGGCGCTGAGGCACCAGGCTGCACCACGGAAGGCAGGTTCTCAGATGGGAGGCTGACCGGTTTGGATACTGGCAGGATGGTATTGGTTGGAAAGAACTTTCGCCTTTTCCTGGTTTTAGTTACTGGAGCATTGTAAGTAAGCGCAGGTTTGTAAACGGATGGAGCAGCTGGAGACAGAGAAGAGCTGGAGGATGGAACAGAGGAGGGAGCAGTTGCTACAGAGGACTTCTTTACAGGGTTGAAGAAAGGATAGGTGCAGCAAGTGGGAGCAGGGGATTGGTATGTGGTAGTTAGCACCACTGTGCTGTCGGGGATGCAGGAAGAGTGCCTTGAGCAGAGGAATGATGTTGCAAGCCAACTGAGGCTGGGTGTAACAAATCTGTCCATGTCTGCAGTACCGGTTTAACAAAACTCAGCTTACACCTAGCCTGTCTGATCAAAGACTGCACTGCGTTTATGCAATCCATAAGCACATGTGATGGACATGCTGCATAGTGCTCATGGAAACAATCTGGATCATCCTCCAACAACCATACCAGTGATTCCACTTGATCCACACTAAATGGGGGGAAAAAAAGTCATCCCTGCTTTCAGGGGTACAGGACCGAGCCAACTCAGCACAAACCTGGATCAATGGCTGCACCTCAGAAAACTCTGTGCCCTGATCTACTAGACAATGAGCGATCCTTATACACTCTAGCAGTTGATCCCGGGTATACTCCTTAAGAGTCTGATAAGCATAGTCTTTGTCATCAAACACTAGCAAAGATAAATACACCACCTCATCAAGATCCATCCTTCCCAGCAACAATAAGCCAAGATGGCCTCCCTGTGCAGCCACCTCTGGTCAGGTTTTTGGCCTTGGTGTAATGTCAGAGATGCAGGTGTGACCAGAAGTGTGTGGACTGACACAGGGAACGCAAGCTTCAGATATGGTATAAATAAGACGTTTTATTAAAGACTAACAATACAAACATAAACGCAGTGCACCAAACCCCAAGCTAACACAAATACATACAACAAGGTGAAACAAACCCAAACCTAAACTGATACAGATACCCATGTACATACACATGTAGAGCACAACGTAGTTAGGCAGGCCGGTCGGGTCGATAACTATCGGGCAGGTAGGTACAGGAGGAGCAGGCGGAGAGAATGGTCAGGGTCACAAGCCAGGGATCAAAACAGGAGAAGTCAGCAGAGGTCAGGATCAGGCAGGGTCGGCAACAAGTCAGGCAGAAACAGGAACAGGAATGCAGGTTACAAGATACAGGGGCCCATGGAAAAAACACACACCAAGGCACAGACTGCAGGTCTGGCCATCTCTTAAATACACCTGCAATCAGCCCCAGGTGATGGCTAATTGCCAAAGTGAACCTCTGGTTGTTGAGAGCACCCGCTGGCCAGCCCTGGTACTGCAGCCCACAAGGCAGGTGAGTCCCACCACTATTGGCAAGTCCATTCCTGACACATTTACAAACAATGTGGAATTAATGTACTATTGACAGTCACTGTAGATCAGTGGGGAGATGCCAAAAATGGCAAGGTCATGAGGTCCAAGCTTCCAGAGCTTGTGCTTACCTTCCACAATTTGTAGCCTGTGTGTAGGGGATGCCCACCCTGTGGCAGGCAATATTGAATGGTAGCTTTCCTCCGGTGTGCCTTCTTCAACAAACAGACCATTGCCTGGCGCCCATCAACTGTGCCTAGAACAAGTCAACAAAGACAACATTATTGCCTAACAAATTAAGAATGAATGTAGCAAAACATTTTTCACAATACTAAAAACTTTTTTTAACAACTAAAGATTTTTTTAACAACTTGACTTACCAGGGATTCGGCGGGCCACTTTTTTTTTAAAAAGGCGGGGTTGCGCTGCTTAACATTGCTCCAACTGTGCTTCAGCACAGTGTAGCGATGCTGGAATCTCTGCCACAGCCGATGCTTAGTATGGCACAGGATGGTCTGCTTGGTGAAGTTGTACAAGCCAACATCATACTGTATTTGCAAATGAGGAGGATCTGTGGATGACAAAAAAAGGGCAAGAATTAAAATTTTAGATGTTTGTGTAATCAAACATACAAAATATCTCACACAAAGCAGGGGATAATTGTCCCCAAAGGCAAGCCAAAACATTATCTTTATCTTCATACGTGTGTGTATACACATACATACATACAGTATGATTATATTGTATTGTCATTTACAATGCATTCTCACCTGAGCAATACAGAACTGTTGGCAGAATTGCACAATTCTTGCTGCACTTCCAAATTGTGCTAAAATGGTCTTAAAATATGCGGTGTGCTTTTGGGTGCCATTCATTGTTAATGGCACCCCAAATGCTGTTAGCAAACATGCATTTTGCTGCACATTTTAGCATTTAACAAATATGCTAGCCACACACCTAAAAGAGCATTGAAAAAATACACAACACTCCATGGGCAAAAAAAGTTAAATTTTTGCTTTGTTGGACATTTTAATGCTCATTGTGGTGCATTTTGTAAACAACATTTTTGCGGCTTTTCTGTCAAGACACGTTTCTTAAAATGTGATTAGAAATTTGGATGTGCATTTTTGTGCTTTTTGAACATGTATTTTGGCTCATTTTGCTACCAGCATTTTTTTGTGTGTGTTCTGGCAATGCATGCAAAATGCAAGTCATGTTTGTGGTGACATTATTTTGTTAATGTCACCAAAGTGGGATGCAGATGTGCAGTTTACCAAAATATTAAATAAAAGTGCTTGTGAGCCACTATGACTATTATTTAGTAATGTCAATACCAATAATGTGAATTGACGTTCTTAGTGTTAAGGCGGTTCGCTGACACTCTTCCACACACTCATGTGCCAATAATAAATCTTAATATTACATCTGTGTCATGCTCCTAATTATTAAATGTGAATCACCTTCATGTGCTAATTGATAAATGTGCTCAACATGATACGTAATTAACTACTTATTAAATTGATAATAAATAATCCAAATAAATGTAATAACTACAGGTGAAACTCGAAAAATTAGAATATCGTGCAAAAGTTCATTTATTTCAGTAATGCAACTTAAAAGGTGAAACTAATATACGAGATAGACTCATTACATGCAAAGCAATAGTTCAAGCCGTGATTTGTCATAATTGTGATGATTATGGCTTACAGCTCATGAAAACCCCAAATTCACAATCTCAGAAAATTAGAATATTGTGAAAAGGTGCAATATTCTAGGCTCAAAGGCCCTGATTCACTATTGGGCGTGGGTGCATATTTATGGGCTTAAGCCCTATTTTCATGGGTGTCCGTCATTTTTTACCCTGCAACCTAATTCACTATTGAGCAGAGCCCATAAGCAGATGCCCAATCTAATTCACAAAAAGACACACGCCCGAAATCAGACTCACAAAACAGACTTGCTAAGAAGCAAGTCTAAAACCATGAAAAATCACTGCAGAGACATGTTCACTTAGAAATTTGCTTTGCCAAATATCAGGACTTCACTTTAAACAATATCTGCTATTTCCAAAAAAAATTAAGAATGTGTTAAAAATCGTTTTTTTCAAGGAAATCGACACAGTAAAAATCTAGAAGCCCGTGCAGTGTCTTTGGTAGATACAACTGAGCATGTGCAGAACACATTTTAGACTTCTGCCATGGGCGTTTGCTTTTTAGCCACTGACTAATAGTGAATCTTACTGTGGATTCCTCTGACAGCCGGCACTCGCTCGCGTCTATTGTGTTTAATAAACAGCACTCGGCATATCTTCATGTAATCTAATTAGATTTCCTTAGTTCTAGTGATTCTATTTTTGTTTCTTATCCTTTATAATTATTTCTGTAATGATTTTACTTATTTCAAAGGTCTAGATAATATTTATTTTGACAGCTGAATGTAAAAATAAAGGTCCACAATAAAAAAAAAAAAAAAAAAAAAAAAACAGCGTGGGTCCCCCCTCTCATCCTTACCAAGCCCTTCAGGTCTGGTATGGATATTAAGGGGGAACTCCACGCTGAAATTTAAAAAAAAAAAAGCGTGGGTCCCCCTCAATATCCATACCAGACCCTTATCCGAGCATGCAGCCCGGCAGGTCAGGAAAGGGGGGGGGACGAGCGAGCGAGCCCCCCCCCCTCCTGAACCATACCAGGCCACATGCCCTCAACATGGGGGGGTGCTTTGAGGCAGGGGGGCTCCCCCCCAAAGCACCTT